CACCTCGGCGCCACTATCCAACAACAAGAGCGCTTTCTCGTTGTTGATCTTCCCCATAGCTTTCGCTTGCTTGAAGCGCTTGTCTGGTACGTGGTACTTCCAGTATCCACGCGACTCTCCCGGCAAGACGTCCAGGGTCATTACTACGGGCGACCTCGAGAATTCGTTGATCTCACGCAGGCTTGACACGGCAAAGGTACGGTTCTTTTAAAGATCACATGTATTGTCGATAGAGGTCATCGGCTTGCTAACCGATAACTTCGGTTGTTTCTCGACATATGCATAGATGCAAAATCTAGAACGCTCGGCTCGTACCGGATTCCAACCCGGCGAGCGTCCTAGTTTAACATCCTTTCCGCAGGTTCTGGCAACATTCCTCAATGCTTGTCGGGGTTGAACCATTGACGAATCAGGTTGTAGAATTCTTCCTTTGGACACTCCCCAGCTTCATGAATCTCCCCGCAAGCCTTGCAAACGTAAAAACATCGGTCCGTCGGGTGGCCTCTGCGTTCGCATTTCCCGCACGTCAAGCGTCCCAAGCAGCCAAGATCGTCATGCTTCTTCGATCCGCAGTGCGAGCAGCGCTTGGTCACCGTCCCCAAGTCCTTCGATCTTGGGTGTCGGTCTCCTGGATGATCACGGATTTCTTGTCGATCTTGACTCGGGTGGCTTCGATCTTGACGTTTGTCGTGGTCCCCCGCTGTAGTCATGTACACTCGGCCCAGGTCCTCGTCATCATCGGTTTCAGACGTCTCGATCTCCGAGTCGCTACTGGTTCCAGCAGCATGGACCGCTTTAACTGCACGCGTAGGTACAGTCGCGTTGGAATACTTCTGGCGAGGTTTGATTGAGCCATATACCGACTTGACCTGCCGGGCCTTCGCACGCTGGCGAGATCGCAACACCTCCTCGAGGGCGTCTGCATCGGGGATCCTCAGAAGTGCGAGATGATCAGCTAAATCCCGGTCGTCCAGCGTTTCGATGAAGTGATCAACATATTCACGGCGGACTTGCGACGGACCGTCCTTGACTTGGATTCGAGCGCGTAGACCTGCGACATTGAGGCGATACAGATACTCCAGTGGCGACTCATCGGATCGTTTCCGCGCATGGTAATATTGCCTTGCGACGGACACGCCATGGCCGCAGTATTGCGTCTGAAAGCTGTGGAGCAAGTCCTTCCACGTGCTGCGGGTCGTACGACTTAGCTGTCGATACCAATTTCGAGCTGGTCCGGTGAGGAGATCGCCAAAGACAAGGCACTTCTCCTCATCTGGCGCT